CCACCAAACAAACAATTTATTTAGTGCATATGGACATATAAAATCAAATGCAACCCCAATGACACCATTAATATATATAAAACAAAATTAGTTGCCAAGAATCATGTTCACTCAGTAGAAAGGTGTAGATTTTATTGAACCCTTATCATCAATTACAAAATGACTATTGTCAAAATTTTGCTTGTTTTAGCAGCTTGTAATAATTGGATCCTTAATCAACTAGATTTCAACAATGTCTTTGTGCATGGTGTTTTTTTTTTAAAAAGACAGATAACTAGTCACACCCATAATTTTGTTCGTAAACTTCATAAATCTTTATATGGTCTCAGACAAATTTTTAAACACAGACATTAAATAAAGTCTTACTCAATCTAAATCAAATTATTGTTTATTTATCAAAGGAAATGATACCAATTTTATTGCCCTTTAAGTTTATGTGGATGATATAATTATTATGGGGCCTCTGACACATTCCATTAATTCTCTAAAGTTCTTCCTGCATAACCAATTTAAGCTCAAACATCTAGGCAATTTTAGGTACTTTTTGGGCCTTTAAATTGTTAGATAAAGTAAAGGTATAATGATATTATACCTCGCAACTCTCGAAATATATAAGATATCATGGAAGCTAATCAATTTACACATCCATTGATCTAGCTCAATTCAGTGATGAAGATGGAGAGCCTTTACCGAATTCGACTGCTTTTTGACAATTGGTAGGTTACCTTATTTATTTAACTTTATTAGAATCTGATATTACTTTTACAGTGCACAAATTCAATAAATTCATGAACCAACATCGAAATTCAAATTTAGCAACCCCTCCTTGCCTCCTATGATATATTAATTCCACTCCAAGACCAGGAATCCTCTTCTCAAACAACTGCTCTCATCAATTGATGGCCTTTTCTGACGTTTATTGGACATCATGCCAATATAAGAGACAATTATTCACCAGATTTTGCATTTTTCTTTGCGATTCTCTAATATTATAGAAACTAAAGAAGCAAAATATTGTCTCCTGATCATATATCAAGGTTAAATATAAAGCATTAACAACCATTGTTAGTGAGATCAGATGGATTCAATAATTGATATAAGGCTTTAGGATTCAGACATCCATTCCAATTTTCATTTTTTGTGACAACCAATCAGCTATACCACATCAAACTTATGCATATTTAAACTAAAAATCAAATCATTGATATCTTCACCAAAGCGTTTCGAGCTACAATCACATATTAATGGATGTTATAAATATTCACATAGTCAATCCTGAGGGGGAATATTACAATATTATTATTCGTATCAAATAATATTACCTATTTACTATTCACCTACCTATATATAAGAGGTTGTATCCTAACAGGACATCTCTCTCTTTTTATTTTAGTAATAATTATATACATATACATATACATATACATATACATATACATAT